ATTTGCCCTATTTAAGGGATTAGGGTAGTTAGAATTTGACCAAGCAGCCGAACTATAAGTAGTTTGGAAAAACTCGGCAAATAAATCAGCAATTTCAGAATCCGTCGATGCCTACATTGAGTTAAAATGTACCGATGAAGGCAATGCTGACGACTTACGCTTGGCATTGACAAAGTTATAAAACTGCTTCGGATCATTTGAAAATTCAAATTTACATCGGCTTAAATACATAGAATAGCAATGACTATTGAGAACATAAAAATCCGATCGAGCCACCACATATTTCGAAAAATCAGATGGCTTACCCGATTTCTAATACTTTTTATAAGTGTTTGTCTTAAGGTTTTTAAGTCTTTGCAGCGCATTGGTAAACCAAGGTGGCCTGTTTGTCTTTGAAGGAAACCTATCAGGAACGCATTCATTAAAAAAGGTATTTAACACTATATAGAAGTTTTCAGTGGCACTTTCAATATATTTACAATTGTACAATTCTGTCCAATTATATTGAGAAATCATGTCGGATAGGGTATAGCGACTAGTGAGTCAGTAGGAGGAGACCAAGAAATATCAGGGAGATTAAAGTCACCCAAAACAATCAAAAGGTCACTGTTAGAAAGAAGGGATAGAATAGATTTTATCGCAGACAGGTGGTGCTCATAAATTATTAAATCAGAGCCAGGTGGAATATAGGAATATGTAACAAATATTGAGAATGATTGCAGGAAAACTTTCACACTAACAAATTCAATTTCATTAGGAGTATCAGAGTGAATTCTCTCGGATGTTAGGCTAGTGCTAACGGCAATCAGCACACCGCCTCCCCTACGTGAGGAGCGATCGGTCCTATAGGCATTAAAATTGTTTGACAGAACTTCATTGTCAGATATCTCTGGTTTCAGCCAAGTTTCCGTAAAAGCCAAAATATCAGCAGTAAATGCAGAGGAGTCAGCATAAAGCTTGGGTAGCTTCATATTTAGTCCCCTTAGATTTTGATAAGCCAAAAATAAACTTTTTAGTTTTTTGGCGCAGTGGAAGGTCTGTTATTTGTTCTCGGTTTATTGGGAACAAATTCTCTTATTACTAAATCATCATTAAGCCAAAAGCTTTCAGAAAGTAGTACCTTAAACACATCAGGCGGAGCAAATATTTTAAACGACGATATACTACGAGCATATGAAAATCTAAATTGTTCCACTGAAATATTCTCGGATGGGAATTTTTCACGAATAAATTCCAAAACATCCTCAGATGTGGTATCTGGGGTGAATCTCGAAACAAATAATTGTTTTCTATGTGGAACAACTGATAATTTCTTACGTCCCCCAGCAGCAGATTGAACCTCACTAAGCTGAGAGCCAGAAACGGTAACTTCTGTACCTATAGGTACGGTCGGCACTGTAGCCGGCACTGAAGGTTTCTTACCACCCGACTTCGAGAAGCAGTGACTTCACCTAAAACAGCTGTATCCATAGGCGCAGTAGGTTCACTTACCACAGTGTCAACAGAGACTGCTGCAGCCACCAAGTTCGGATTTGGGGTGGATACCGTGACCGTATTAACTGCCGCTAAGCTGGTTTTTTTACGTTTAGGCGACTCAGTTAGTAATTTTTTATTATTAAATTGGGCACAAACGGAATTGAACCCCTCATTGAGCTGTTTAAAAGAGAGATTCAAAAGGCTGTCTCGAGTCTGCTTCATAAAGCCGCAGAGATACTACCCCAAGAACCCGAAAATTCAAGGGAAAATCAACGCAAAGGTGGACGAGCTTCTCCAAATGGGGTTCATAGAGCATTCAAAGAGCCCATACAGCTCCCCCATCGTGATGGTGAAAAAGAAGACAGGCAAGTGGAGACTTTGTGTCGACTTCAGGCAGATCAACGCGAAGTCAGTGAAGGATACCTACCCAATGACCCCCATAAACTACATCCTGGATCAACTAAGGGAAGCGCGGTACATCACCAGCTTGGACCTGAAGGATGGATACTGGCAAATCCCACTGGAAGAAAGAAGCAGGCAATACACGGCGTTCACGGTACCAGGCAAAGGTCTGTTTCAGTGGAGGGTAATGCCGTTCGGACTTCACTCGGCGTCGGCAACGTTTCAGCGAGTTTTGGACCAAGTAATTGGCCCCGAGATGTCACCTCAAGCATTCGCTTACCAGGATGACATAACAGTGATCGGTCGCACGCTGGAAGAACACAAAAGAAACCTGAGAGAAGTGTTCCGGCGTCTAAAGGAGGCAAACCTGAGGCTGAATCCAGAAAAATGCCAATTCTTTAGAAAGGAACTGCTGTACCTGGGACATCGAGTGACTAGCGAGGGAATAGGAACAGATCCAGAAAAAGTAGCCGCCATCGCCGAACTGGAACCGCCATCGACCGTCAAAGAACTCCGGCAATACCTAGGAGTAGCGTCGTGGTACCGCCGATTTGTACCAGATTTTCCCAGAATCGTCAAACCCCTGAATGACCTGCTGCGTAAAGGCAGTAAGTGGGAGTGGACACCAGATCACCAGATGGCATTTGAGAAAGTAAAGGCAAGACTCGTGGCAGATCCGGTGCTAGCATGCCCGGACTTCAGTAGAACTTTCATCCTGCAAACAGACGCCAGCGACTACGGCATCGGAGCAATACTGACCCAGGACACCGAAAAGGGCGAAAGAGTAATCTCCTATTCGAGCCGAACACTGAACGGCGCGGAGAAGAACTATTCAACAACGGAGAAGGAGTGCTTGGCGATCGTCTGGGCGATCCGGAAGCTCAGCCCATATCTGGCAGATTACCACTTTAAGGTAGTAACCGACCACATGGCCCTGAAGTGGCTCAACAGCATCGAAAGCCCTTCAGGAAGGATCGCCAGATGGGCCCTGGAGCTACAACAATACGACTTTGAGATAGCGTACAGAAAGGGTCAGCTAAACGTGGTGGCCGACGCATTATCAAGACAACCACTACCAGAGACGCTACGAGGAGTAAAAGAGGCGTCGGCAAAAATAACTTCAGGAGGGTGCAGCTGGATCAAGGACATGGGCGAAAAGATAAGAACCCAACCGCAGAACTACCCGGACTATGTTATGGATGGTGAGGCACTGTACAGAAACATACCTCACCGAGCAGGCAGTGAAGACGTCGCGTCAAAGTCGCTACGAGAAACAGTGTTGAGGGAAAACCACGACGCACCGTCTGCGGGACACGTAGGAAGCCGGAGGACAATTGCACGGTTGGCAGCCCGATACTACTGGCCAGGCATGCATAGAGACACCCGAGCCCATGTAAGAAAATGCGAGATTTGCATGCGGTTTAAGCCCAATCAGATTGCAGGCAGCCGGGAAGATGTTGACCCAAAAGCCGGAGGAACCATGGGCCACGGTATGTGCAGACTTCGTTGGACCCCTACCAAGATCCAAGCACGGGAACCAAATGCTGCTGGTCATGATAGACAGGTTTTCGAAATGGACGGAACTGGTGCCCCAGTGCGACAGCAGAGTCGCTCAAGAAGGCGTTTAGGGAGCGCATAATCGCAAAGTACGGGGTCCCGAAGGTGGTCATAACGGACAATGGAGTAAAGTTTGCAAGCCGCATTTTTAAAAATTTCCTGGCTGAGATGGGTATCAGTAAACAATTCACCGCGCCATACACACCACAAGAGAATCCGACCGAACGAGCAAAGAGAACGGTCAAGAGCATGATTGCGCAGTTCGCAGGGCAGGACCAGAGAAACTGGGACGAGAAGTGGCCGGAGATTATGCTAGCAGTGAACACGAGCACATCGGAATCCACCGGCCATACACCGGCGTTTCTTACCCAGGGAAGGGAACCACGTCTACCCAGCAGCCTATATGATAAGGAAACCCTAGGCACTGGACGAGCTACGGAGACCCCTGAGGAAAATGCCAACAAACTAAGAGAGGTATTCGAGATCGTGCGGAGAAATATGTAAAAGGCGTCCCAGGACCAAGCCAGACACTACAATCTGAGAAGGACGCAATGGTCACCAGCGGTGGGCGACATAGTGTGGGCCAAGGAACATCACCTGTCCAAAGCGGCTGAAGGATTCGCTGCAAAACTAGCCCCGAGGTACGATGGCCCTTAAAATTCGCCACACACAGTCGAAGAAAGAAAGGACAGTTCTCGTTGGCGAGCTCAAGCAACAACAAAACGAGCAGACAGCAGAAACGTCAGATTGTTAACGACAGGTACAAGCCGACAGGATTAGGCGTCAGGCCGTAGCGAGAGTCATCCATACTCCACACGGAAAGGACAATCAGAACAGCACAAGGACATGGATAAGGATTTCGCGTTAATCCAGACTGCGAGGCCAAAGGATTATACGTCAGGCCGAAGCGAGAGTCATCCAAACGCCACGTAGAAAGATCAACCATAAATATAGGTCACAAGGATACGGGCAACGTGTAGGGATCGAACCACAAGGCAGCAGGATTCAGTGTCGGGCAGTTGCCAGAGTCATCCGCGATTACGCCAGGCGGAAGGGATACTTACAAAACAGCACAAGGATACGGGTAACATATAGGGATCCAACCGCAAGGCAGCAGGATTCAGCGTCGGGCAGTTGCCAGAGTCATCCGCGATTACGCCAGGCGGAAGGGACACTTACAAAACATTACAAGGATACGGGTAACATGTAGGGATCCACCCGCAAGGCAACAGGATTCAGCGTCGGGCAGTTGCCAGAGTCATCCGCGATAACGCCAGGCGGAAGGGCACTTACAAAACGGCACAAGGATACGGGTAACGTATAGGGATCCACCCGCAAGGCAACAGGATTCAGCGTCGGGCATTTGCCAGAGTCATCCGTGGTTAGGCCAGGCGGGAAGGACACGGACAAGGTCGACAACAACACTAACAAAAGCACACCACTTCAACAAGGATACCCCAACAATACCCCTAAATGTGCCTCGAAGGACACCCCAACAATACCCCTAAGAATACCCGAAGGATACCCAAAGGACACCCGAAGGATACCGTAGGGATAGCCCAATAATGCCCCAAGGATACCCCAAGGATACCACCCAGGAACGCCCCGAAGCAAGGTGTATGCCCAAGGACAACTTCCAAGGATACTCACCAAGGGTGATCAAGGTAGGGTCTTAAGCAAGTTGGTTACGGAACCGAGAGGTACAACGAACCGCAGCATCCAGAGTGCCACGGTGATCTGAGGGAGTACAACTTGTGCTTTATGAAGAAAGGGGGAAGACGGCACAGCAAAGAGAGCTGTACCGTAAGAGAGCGAGCGCCCCAAAGAAAGGACAAAACGGGATCGGGCAAAAGGAAGGCGCGCAACCGGAGCGGACCCGCGACGAGGACTCCGCACCAGAACCCGTGGTGAGCTCCGACAGCGACGTGGAGGTGGTCGGCGATCCCGCCGTCGAAGAAAGAGAATGGCGGCTCCGGAAAGCGGCGGCGGGTGATCGGATACCGCGCGGGACGACGGACGTCGGAGGAGCGGAACTCCCGAGGGGCCACGCCGGGGATGTTTGTCGAGCCACCGAGGAGACTCGGAAACGGTTCCGGGACCGGGAGCCGGCGGTCGAGGAGCAGCAGCGGTCGACGGAGGAGGAGGCGCGATGGCAGATCCGGCTGCGGCAGGACCACGAGGCGGCGGCGGCGCGATGGCATGCCCGTCTGCGACAGGCGGAGGAAGAGGAGCGACGTCTGTGGGAGGTACCGGTGGAGGACGCGTGGGAAGTTCCACTCACCCCCAGGTACGCGGCCGAGGAGCCCAGTCCGAGGAGCGAGGATGGGGCCGAGCCATGCGCGCCATCCCCTCCGCGGTGGTTGCCGGAGGTGCCACCCACTCCCCGCTACGAAGGGGAGTGGCTCACGGAGGAAGCCCGAGAGAGCGACGGAGGAGACCCGTTGGCCACGCCGCCGTGGAGGCCGGCCCGGCCACCCACGCCGCGATACACCGAGCCACAGCGACCGGAGGAGCGAACGCAAACCGAGGAGTCGACCGCGCAGCCGATACCACAACCGCAGGAGGAGGCAGTCCACCAGGCACAGGCGCAGGAGCCGTCGGTGGTGCGGACGGAAGTACCGGATGCGCACGTGAGCCACAGCACGCGGGCGTTCGTGGCCGAGGGCGTGCGGTGGCGACAGCAGACGCTGGTATGGACGTGGCCCGAGGGGCCCGCGACGGTACCGACGAAGGAGGAGCCCAGGATATGGGAGGAGGGGGTACCCAAGGTGAATCCTCGAGATCCCCGGACGAGAGGCCGGCAGGATGCGCAGATGGCCGGCCGCTTACCAGTTACGCGGCGAATTCGCGTAGTAACGGCGCGGCGAGGAGAGTTTGGAGACTTGGATGGAGAACGAGAGAGTTTGGAGACAAAGGATGGAGAACGAGAGATTTGGAGACCAAGGATAGAGAGCGAGAGAGTTTGGAGACCAAGGATGGAGATCGAGAGAGTTTGGAGACCAAGGACGGAGAGCGAGAGAGTTTGGAGACCAAGCATGGAGAACGAGAGAGAATGGAGACTTCGCGGGCAAGGCAAGAGTGCCGTGTGCAAAAACAGGATAACGAAACTCCACCGGACTTTGGACTCTCCCGTGAACTTTGGACCGGGAGAGGAAGTGCCACATCTCGACAGAGGAGCGGCACACAGGCGTGCTACAAGCATCACGGGAATCAGCGGCATGGCAGCAGTGGGCGGAGCATCGATTGGAAGCGGTACGTGAAGGACAAGTGGGTCAACCAGGAGTCACGGACCTTGGACCCAGAGTGGAGAGATCCAGCGGGCCGTGCGCAAAAGGGAAATAACGGTTTCCGGAGGCCCTATATAAGGCCGCAGAGCGCTGGCAGCTGGATCAGCGAGCTGGATCAGCGAGGAGTCAAACCTTCAAGATCAGTTAAAGTACCAAGTGAACAGTCAGTCAAGCAAATAATCTACGAGGGAAGCACACAAGGCTACAACCAAGCGAGTCGTCGGAAGCAGCGCCGTGGGAAGCACACAAGGAGCAAGATCGCCACGTCGAGACGTTCGGGATTGGGACATCAGGAATCTCCGAATTGAGACACAGGTTGCTGAGTTCTGGAAGGCATCACGCGGCTAAGCCAAGGCGTTTGTTTTCCAACTTTGTCACGACCACACCCTGGCGAGTCGCCCGGCGGGTCTGTCAGAGACAAGCAAAAAGAGTCCTCCGACGAAGAACCGTCAGCTTGGGGAGGAAAGGTGTCTGCGACCCAGCGTACTTTTCCCGACCAAGCAGGACCTGGCGTGACGGACGAGCGGTAGATCGATTTGTGGTTTCAAGAGGCGGTCGCCTGGAGAGCCCTGCGACTACCGGCGAAGTTCCCGAACAGCAATCGCCCAACACCCCGAGTGCCAGAACGACGAGATACTGGTCAGAAGACAGCGCAGAGGACATCGACAGGGACACCAGCAGACATTTCCGGCAGCCACGTTAACATCGCCGCGCGGAGCTCATTGGGGAGCGCAGGAGCGTCGCAGACGTCACGCATTAGGGTGAAGCCGGGTGGAACGTTCGTCTGCGCTAGGCGTAAAGCGAAGTGAACCGCTAGACAGCTTCCTGGCGGCAGCCTTGACTGTCAGCGCGAACTGAGCAAGAACCTAGCGGGACCGTCCGGGACAGAGCAAGGGACAGGTATTGCCTCGAATGGCGTCGGCCTGGAGAGCAAGGCTTGTTCACCCTAGTCTGAGAACGGTGACGCTTCCCTAAGCCCACAAGGCCGAACTCTCTGCTGGTCTAAGGCGCAACAAGCGACCCCGAGGCAGCGCGTCAGCAAGCAAGCAGAGGCGGCCCGTGGAACGGGCATTCTCAGCCTTACACTTTATATTAAGTGAACGAAGAAGTTCGATTAGTGCAGAGAATCTGAACGCCTTACTATTTATAAAGCTTAACACGTAATATATATGTCGGGTCACGCAGCCGCAGCAGCTAATTAGCTTAATTCGATCTTTTATATTAATTGCATCGCGAAAGGTAGCTCTCTCTATCAGCTCTCTCGTTTTTTGTGTACTTGGATTCTTGGGCCCAGCATTCGGCTGGCTGTCCCTTTGTAAAATCCGTACGAGTTCTGGTCTTCACATTAAATGCACTCTCGTCTCGCCTGCTGTCTCTCTTTCGCTAATAAATTGTTAACAAGCATAAGGCAACCTGAAATTCGTATTTTATAATTTAGCAATAACTAATAAAAAAACTTATTAGTTCAACATTGGTGACCCCGACGTGATTTGTGCATAAATAATACTAAGTGAGCAAGGCTTGTTCGCCCTAGTCTGAGAACGGTGACGCTTCCCTAAGCCCACAAGGCCGAACTCTCTGCTGGTCTAAGGCGCAACAAGCGACCCCGAGGCAGCGCGTCAGCAAGTAAGCAGAGGCGGCCACTACGAGCGTCCCGAGACCCAGGATCCAGAGGAGGACGAGTCAACGCGTCGAGAAGCAAGAAAGAGGAGCGCCAGCCGCCGGCGGAACCAGAGCCAGGAGATACCGAAGCCAGCCCAGCCACACACCCGCTGTACTAATACCACGAGAATAAATCCCACTGTTACCATTTGAACCCTTTGTTTTCTCACTGATCTACGGGGCAATCACGTCATATAAATTTGGTGGGACGAACGCACAATCTTCTGAGCTAGCCGCACGAATCTCGTAGCGAGCAGACACACAAAATCAGTTCGTTACAACCTGCAACGCAAGTTTCCGTGGAACGGGCATTCTCAGCCTTACACTTTATATAAAGTGAACGAAGAAGTTCGATTAGTGCAGAGAATCTGAACGCCTTACTATTTATAAAGCTTAACACGTAATATATATGTCGGGTCACGCAACCGCAGCAGCTAATTAGCTTAATTCGATCTTTTATATTAATTGCATCGCGAAAGGTAGCTCTCTCTATCTAGCTCTCTCGTTTTTTGTGTACTTGCATTCTTGGGCCCAGCATTCGGCTGGCTGTCCCTTTGTAAAATCAGTAGGAGTTCTGATCTTGACATTAAATGCACTCTCGTCTCGCCTGCTGTACTCTCTCTCGCTAATAAATAACAAACATAAGGCAACCTGAAATTCGTATTTTATAATTTAGCAATAACTAATAAAAAAGCTCATTAGTTCAACATTGGTGACCCCGACGTGATTTGTGCATAAATAATATTAGGTGCAAATCATATAAGTCTATTTATTGACTTTTTCGTTTTTGCGGCTGCGGTGCATTGGCGGAGCAACAATCATAAGGCCTTACATGCAGTGAGCGCTATAAATAAATAGCAGTTGGTGATTGCGGAAATTTACATATAAGGCGCAAAATCAGCTATACATAGAAGCGTACATAGCCAAGTAACGGGCTGTTATTCCCTCGTTTGCTTTGCGCTCATCTTCCCGCTGGAGCTGAATCTCGGGCATTTCGTCTGCTGGGTTTGTTGTTGTTGTTGTAGCCATGCCTACGGCATGATGTTACCGCTGATGCAAACAGGGCAATATTTTTGAAGCGCAAGGCAACTGCTTTATTTAATAGAGTGGAGCGCTTAGTGGATTCCCTATCAAGTGCGGCGTTAACTTCATGCGACGAATCCGGTCTTCATGTGAGGTTGGAGTTGATTGATGAGCTTCGAGTGTCATTTAAAAAGGTTCTCGGTGAGCTCGAAGAATTGGATTTCGAGGAAATTGAAAGTGATTTAAGTGAGAAATTTGATGACATTCTCGTAATTCTGAAGTCATCGAATCGATACGAAATTTCAAAGGGCGCCTCACAGCTTCTTTCGCATTCAACTTTGCTGACGGCATCACTCCGTGAGTTTTCGGCCCCCAGTTTTCGGGTCGCAGCGTCAGCCTCGACATAGGGCAGCATTGCTGCCCCCACTGGACCTTCCAAAATTCGCTGGAGGTTATGCAAATTGGTCTGACTTTTATTCTATGTTTACCACGATCATAGAAAGCCATCCGCACCTCACCAACGTAGAAAAGCTGCAGCATCTACGATCATGCCTGAGGGACGCTGCGTTGGAAACTATTCGCTCCTTGGAAATTAGATTTGCTGAAAAATAGATTTGATAATCGACGTTTGGTTTTTCAGGAACACATTACTGAGATCCTGGGACTTAAGGCGGTGCAGAGTGGTTCCGTCTCGACACTTCGGGAGCTGTCCGTTAAATTCAACGCTCATATTCGTGCTCTCAAAGGACTGGGCACGACGGAACAAACCACAGAATGCATCATCGTCGAAGTCCTGTTCCAAAAGTTGGATCCGGCAAGTCAGGCAAAGTGGGAAGAGCGTTTAGAGGACCCTGCCTTCGTCAATTTAATTCCTACGTGGGAGTCAATGGCATCATTTCTGGAGCAGCGATGCAGGACGTTGGAGACTATGGATATCGCCATGGCAAACTATGCGCCGGGCAATCAGGTGGGAAGTAACAGAATACCCAATGCGCGTAGATCAGCATTTATTGCCTCGAATGCTAACCCTTGGATTTGTATATTCTGTAATGATACGGGGCATTCCATTTCTTATTGTCAGAATTTTAAAATCCTGTCTCCTGCGAATAGCCTTCAAGAAGCGAAACGGCTCGGTCTTTGCATAAATTATCTTAAGGCTGGTCATCAAGTTCGGCAATGCAACTCCAGTAGTTGTCGTGCATGCGGATCTAAGCACCACACCCTGCTTCACCTGGGAAACTCACCTTCCTTTCCTTCACAAGAAGGAGCACAGCTTCAAGAAGCACTTCCCTCTGCCTCACCCTCTGCACTGCCTTCCACTTCGACTGCTCTTATTGCACAGGAGTTTAGTAATGATATTGTGCTCTTAGCAACGGCTAGCGTTTTTGTAAAAAACCGTTCCGGAGTTTTCGTTCCCTGTCGAGCTCTACTCGATTCGGGCTCCCAACTGCATCTAATAACGTCCCTATTCGCAAATCAGCTTCAAGTAAAGAAAATTAAATCTTTAGCATCTGTAACTGGAATAGGAGATTCCAGTTTTGTGACGGACGGTCGCTCGGTCAATATTACGATTCAGTCCCGAACTTCCGAATACTCAGCCAACATTTCCGCGGTGATTGCTCCGAACATAACAGAGCGACAGCCTAGCTTCAACGTCGACATTGGCAGCTGGAACATACCCAAAAATATACAGTTAGCTGACCCAAGGTTTTATGCTCCCCAGCGGGAGGATCTATTAATCGGAGCCAGCCTCTTTTTCGAGATGTTGTGCGTTGGCCAAATCAAGCTCCCACCTG